AAAGTTGGGAAACAATTCGACAAAATAGGAATTATTAGATAATCAGTTGGAGCTCTTTTTCAGTTGTATAGTAATGTTTTAAGTTGAAGTTTTAGTATATGGGAAAATGCTTATATAATTTTAAGTGGAAAAAAAATTGGAAATTTTATGTATAGTACGATCTCAACTTTGTTTAAACAAGTTTTTTTCTTAAGCACAGAAAAGATATTAGAAGAAAACAGGCCAAATGACTCGGTATTTATCTCTGAGTGATGAGACTAGGTGTAATTTTTATTTAATTTTCTTAAGTTTTCAGTGTATAATAAGCATATATTACTTTTAAATTTAGGGAAAGATATATGTTACAAAATCCCTATTGAACTCAGAGTCCATTGGAGCTGAGGCTTGTGACCCCTCTTTGCAACTTGCCGGGTGTGTGTTGATGTTCCAGAGACTTTGTGTAGCTCATGTGAGGTCTGTGAAACTTGTATGTTTCACAAAATATTACGCATAAAACCAAAGCATGTGCCGATTGCTGTTGATACTATTCTTACTCCTGGGGTAGCAAAGTGGCACCTTTTGAGAAAGCTGTCCAGAGCATTGTGAGGTCCTTTTGTGATGAAGGGTGGAATTCCTGACAGTTTGGGAGTGACCTTGTCAGTTCCTGGAGTGGGACCCTGTCTGTTCTATGTAGCACAGGGCCGGCATATAGCTGGTCTACTGCGTTTATTTGTCAGGGTTCCAGTGAACCACAACGTGGGTGCACAGAGGGGAGTCATTTTCCCCGCAGTGAGCCTAATCCACAGACTCCATCTCCATGCCCCTTCTCTGTTATCTTCTCATTCATGGTCACACTGAATCCTTATCATAACCCTGTGCTGAGAGCTGGGTTGTTGTCAGCTTTGTGAACCATTTGAGGGACTCTAGAGAAAAGCACCAGTCCACTGCTGTTAACAACCCAGTGCCATTCTCATTCCAGTGATGGAATTCTTTGGACTTACCTGCCTGTCTGTTGTCATGATGCTGTGACTACAATAACAAAAGTGGCCAGTGGAGAAGCTGGACTGGCTGGAGAAATAACAGGAGGGAACACGGCCCCAGTTCCCAGCCCTTGCTTATTCTGATTTCAGGCAGGCTTGGGCTCTGGGTGAGATTTTGTATACAGGAAGTGTATTACTGTGCTGGGGCTCCCATAACAAAATACCACAGACCATGTGGCTTAAACAAAAGAACTTAATTTTCTTAGAATTCTGAAGGCTAAAAGTCCAAGATCAAGGTGTTAGCAGGTTGGGATTCTTCTGAGGCCTCTTTCCTTGGTCGCACATGGCTGTGTTCTCCCTGTGTCTTCATGTGGTCTTCCCTCTGTCTGTGTTGTCTGTGTCCTAATCTCTTCTTCTTTAAGGACACCAGTCATAGTGGATTAGGATCCACCGGAACAACCCAATTTTAACTTAATTACCTCTTCTAAAAAAGCCTTAGCTCCAAATACGGTCATGTTCTGCGGAACTAGGGGTTAGGACTGCAGCACATGAATTCAGCGGGGGTGGGGAAGGGGGGGGCGTTGTCGGAGAAGGGAGACAATTCAGCCCATAACAGGAGATCTGTAGAGACTCGGAATCAGAATAGAACAGTCATTTGCCACATTCCAAACCATGAAGGCTGATGTCAGGCAACTCCTCCAATGCTGGCGTGGCTAATCAGATCCCAGGAAAGGAAAAGTGTCAGGGAGACTGTGAGGACTCCAGCACAGATACCTAAGCAGTGCTGAGAAATAGAAATGGGGACTGGCCTCAGTCTCCCTGGCTTGAGACATCCAAGGTCTGCATGGTTTCTACCTTCCCCCAAATAGCTCAGTACATAAGGAGGCAGCATATCTTGCTTTCCCTCCCTCTGAAATGTACCTTGAAGCTAACCCTTTCCTTCCACTCTGTTTGCTCTGCCCTGGTATAAAGCATCTTCCTCCTTCACCTGGACAGTGGCAGGAGCCTATCACTGCCTTGTGGCCTCCAGGCACCTCCCCTCCCTGGTCCTCCAGTCGGCTGCCAGAGGGCTCTTTAATGTGAAGATTGGATCCGTACCTGCACCTGTGTGCTTGATTGCCCTCCCCGTTGCCTACAGGACAGTTAACATTCCTTAGCATGGCACATGGAGACTATGCTTTGAAACCTTTTAGGAGCACCCTGCTGCCTCCAGAGTACTATAATTAGCAAAGCTTGCAGGCTAAGACCTGCATTTCAATCTGGTCAGACCTGTTCCCACCCCCCAAATCCTGCTGCCTGTCATACCACTGCCCCTCAGCCCTGCCCGCCCCCAGTATCATCCCCCTCCCCAGATCTCTTCCTATTCCCTCAGAAAGCCTGCCCTGCTTTCCCTCTCCTGCCTCTAGGCTTGAAGAAATGAACAAAGCCAAGGTCTAATTCAAATGTCGCTTCTCTGTGAAGCCTTCCCCACTGCTCGCCCCAGCCCTCAAGAAGAATCATTCTCTCCCTACCCTCTACCCCAGAGCGCTTGATACATTTCTCTGTGTGCTTAACATCTTGAATTATTTCCTATTCTTAACTTTGTCTCCATCCCTGGGATGTGAGGTCCTTAACGAAGGGACTTTCTCTACTTCATCTCTATATCCCCACTGCCCCACACAGCCCCGTGCATAGGAGGTGCTTAATAGACAGGCTCTAGGTGGGTAAAGAGTTGAAGTCACAAGAGTCTCTCCATCGCGTTGTTGATGGTCTGTGCTGGGAGGTTGCCAGGTTGTCGGATGATGTACTTTTCAAACTTGAACAACAAGCTCTTCTTTGATAGTGTCCATGACCCTTCTGCCCACAGTAACACTGAGGTCCTGTGTGGGCTGAGCCCCCTCCCGGTTTGGGGCCATGTGCAAGAGTGCCATAGCCCCTCACCCTGTCACCGTGCTGGGGGGCAGCACACCCGAAGCAAGACAGACCCCTATTCCCATGACACTCCCTGCTTCACACCTCTGTGGAAACTCTGAGGACCCAGCAGAGTCCTTCAAGTCCACATTGGCATCTCCTAATCCTGTTGTCCAGCCCTAAAGACCAATATTTTATTAAGCTCCTACTACAACACAAGCACTAAGGTAAAAATAAGTAAGACACAGTACCTGCCATAAGGAAACCTAAGAGTCTAAATGGGGAGTCAGACTTTTGTAAACAAACACTTGCAGTAAATCTGACAGATATTTTTAGAGCTCTAGGGCTGTGTCGGTGACAGAGAAGTCAGCACCAAGAGAGGAGAGAGCAACTGATTCTCTAGCCAGTGTCCAAAATAAGGATGCTGCTAATCTCAGGCCAGCAAGATTTATTCCCTACCATCTGCTGCTAAAGGAATAAAAGAAGGAGCTTTTGTGTTCGGACCTCCCGGCTCAGGTGGTCTCCCCAGCGGTGCAGGTGCCAAGGACACAGAGCAGGTCCTGGGAGGTGACAAAGGGCAGGGGAGGACATCTCTCTCCAGCGGCTCAGGACACATAGCCACCACCCCACAGAGAGCAGGGACAGCGCCTGGGCCTGATTCTTTTGTCCTAGGGCACTAGGGAGTTAAGAAAGCCTTTGTGCCCAGAGGTCTTTAATTTCCATTGTCACTCATGAGGGAACTTGAGGGAAACCCAGGCTTTCTTTCACCAGAAATGGATTGAGCACATTAGTCAAGGGCCCTCCCCCACCCTTCATATTCCAGTGGATGGACGGGCCGTGGAGAGGGCAGTCACAGTGTTCCCAGGCCCCACTGGAGGCTGCCATTTTTGCCCCCTCATGGCCCAGGGCCTGGAACAATGCCTTACCCCATCGGTTAGTGTTTGCCCTTTCTTCTCTAGTGAGCCACAGGTTTTTGGAGGTTGAGGTATGTGACTTGATGTGGTCATTTTCTACTGAGTCTCCTTTGACTCAGGAGCCTGGAGAGAACATGAATTTAGTCACCTTGCAGTGGTCTTCTCAGTGCCCCATCTGTGTTTGTGAGGGCCTGACATGGCACCTGTTTACAGCGAGAGCCCTGACCACTTCGGAAATAAGGAACTCGCATGGACTTGCAAACAGGACGTGTTACCTCCCTCTGCGTGAAGTTAAGAAAGTGAGAGAACTAACTTAGTGTGTATTGGGAATGCATCTGAACCAGACGCCAAGCTTGGTGCCTGGCTCCCTAGATTATTACACAGGCAATTACTGTGATATTATTTCTGTAATATCTCTCCCTCTGATCTGCAGGCTCCAGGAAGGCAAGGTTTCTACCTGTCTTGTGCACTGCCATAGCCCGGCCCCTAGCAGAGTGCCTGACACACAGTAAGGCACGCAATAAATATGTTGAATGAATACACAAATGATTTAAACGACCTTCTGATGACCTTGTGGAATTGGTATTATTAGCCCATTTACAGATTAATAAATTGAGGCTCTGAGAAGTTGAGTAACTTGCCTATGGCTACATGGCCAGTCATTAACTACAACAGTATTAACCCACAGCTTTCCAGCTGAACCCTTGCTTATACTTGAACCCGAAAGTTAAAAAGAAAAGAGAAGGAATCCTTTTTTCCAATGTTCTAGGAACAACTATTGTTCTGCCTTCTTTTTAGATGAGCCACAGTTTACTTTCTCATAATTACAATTTTATGTCCTACCAGGTCTCTGGTAGTGGAGGAGGGTACTTGCGAACACAAAGGCTGAAGGATGGCCTTTTCCACTGTCTTTCTTTTGGGGTGTGATTCTGACTTTAAGAATGGAAAACATTTTGGGAAATGGAGGAAGGGGTGGACAAGAGTAGCTAAAGGGCTTTATCCCAGGGCTAAGACGTGAGTTAGGCTTGGGATGAGTAAGATTTACCAGAGGATTGAGGCTGGACACTCCAGGACAGTGGGAGCCAAAGCATGGAAGGGGCAGTGAGGAATTCAGAGGTAGAAGTCAGTGATTCATCAATCTTCTATAACACCCAGTGCTCATTACATCACGTGCCCTCCTTAATGTCCATCACCCAGTTTCCCCATCCCCCCACCTCCTCCCCTCCAGCAACCCTCAGTTTGTTTCCTGAGATTAAGAGTCTCTTACGGTTTGCCTCCCTCTCTGGTTTTGTCTTGTTTTATTTTTTCCTCTCTTCCCCTATGATCCTCTGTTTTGTTTCTTAAATTCCACATGGGAGTGAGATCATATGATAATTTTCTTTCTCTGATTGACTTATTTTGCTTAGCATAATACCCAATATTTCCATCCACGTCACTGCAAATGGCAAGATTTCATTTTTTTAATGGCTGAGTAGTATTCCACTATGTACACACCACATCTTCTTTTCCATTCATCTGTCGATGGATATCTAGGCTCTTTCCATAGTTTGGCTATTGTGGACATTGCTGCTATAAACATTGGGGTGCACGTACCCCTTTGGATCATTGCATTTGTATCTTTGGGGTAAATACCCTGTAGTGCATTGCTGGGTCTTAAGGTAGCTCTATTTTCAACTTTTTGAGGAACCTCCATACTGCTTTCCAGAGTGGCTGCACCAGCTTGCATTCCCACCAACAGTGTAAGAGGGTTCCCCTTTCTCCACATCCTTGCCAATATCTGTCATTTCCTGACTTGTTAATTTTAGCCATTCTGACTGGTGTGAGGTGATATCTCATTGTGGTTTTGATTTGGATTTCCCTGATGCCAAGTGATGTTGAGCACTTTTTCATGTGTCTGTTGGCCATTTGTATATCTTCTTTGCAGAAATGTCTGTTCATGTCTTCTGCCCATTTCTTGATCGGATTATTTGTTCCTTAGGTGTTGAGTTTGATAAGTTCTTTATAGATTTTGGATACTAGCCCTTTATCTGATATGTCATTTGCAAATATCTTCTCCCATTCTGTCGTTGTCTTTTGGTTTTGTTGACTGTTTTCTTTGCTATGCAAAAGCTTTTTATCTTGATGAAGTCCCAATAGTTCATTTTTGCCTTTGTTTCCCTTTCCTTTGGAGACCTGTCTAGCAAGAAGTTGCTGCGGCCAATGTTGCTGCCTGTGTTCTCCTATAGGATTTTGATGGATTCCTGTCTCACATTTAGGTCTTTCAACCATTTTGAGTCTATTTTTGTGTATGGTATAAGGAAATGGTCCAGTTTCATTGCTCTATGTGTGGCTGTCCAATTTTCCCAACACCATTTGTTGAAGAGACTGTCTTTTTTCCATTGGACATTCTTTCCTGCTTTCGACGACTAGTTGACCATAGAGTTGAGGGTCCATTTCTGGGCTCTCTATTCTGTTCCATTGATCTCTGTGTCTGTTTTTGTGCCAGTACAATACTGTCTTGATGATTACAGCTTTGTCATACAGCTTGAAGCCCAGGATTGTGATGCCACCAGCTTTGGTTTTCTTTTTCAACATTCCCCTGGCTATTCAGGATCTTTTCTGGTTCCATACAAATTTTAGGATTATTTGTTCCAGTTCTATGAATAAAGTTGATGATATTTAATAGGGATTGCATTGAATGTATAGACTGCTCTAAGCAGCATCAACATTTTAACAGTATTTGTTTAACAATATTTGTTCTTCCGTGAGCATGGGATGTTTTTCCATTTCTTTGTGTCTTCCTCAATTTTTTTCATGAGTGTTCTATAGTTTTCTGAGTATAGATTCTTTGCCTCTTTGGTTAGATTTATTGCTAGGTATCTTACGGTTTTTGGTGCAATTGTAAATGGGATTGATTCCTTGATTTCTCTTTCTTCTGCCTTGTTGTTAGTGTATAGAAATGCAAATGACTTCTGTGCATTGATTTTATATCCTGCCACTTTGATGAATTCCTGTATGAGTTCTAGCAGTTTTTGGGTGGAGTCTTTCGAGTTCTCCACATAGAGTATCATGTCATCTACAAAGAGTGAGAGTTTGACATCATCTTTGCTGATTTTGATGCCTTTGATTTCTTTTTGTTGTCTGATTGCTGAGGCTAGGACTTCTAGTACTATGTTGAACAACAGTGGTGAGAGTGGACATGCCTGATGTGTTCCTGACTTTAGGGGGAAAGCTCTCAGTTTTTCCCCATTGAGCATGATATTTACGGTGGGTTTTTCATAGATGGTTTTTAGGATATTGAGGTATGTACCTTCTATCCCTACACTGTGAAGAGTTTTGATCAAGAAAGGGTGCTGTACTTTGTGAAATGCTTTTTCTGCATCTATTGAGAGGATCATATGGCTCTTGTCCTTTCTTTTATTAATGTGATGTATCACATTGACTGGTGGATATGGAACCACCTCTTGCAGCCCAGGAATAAATCCCACTTGGTCATGGTGAATAATCCTTTTAATATATGGTTGGATCCTACTGGCCAGTATCTTGGTGAGAATTTTGGCATCCATGTTCATCCAAAATAGTGGTCTGTAACTCTCCTTTTTGTTGGGGTCTTTGTCTGGTTTGGGGATCAAGGTAATGCTGGCCTCATAGAAAGAGTCTGGAAGTTTTCCTTCCCCTTCTATTTTTTGAAAGAGCTTCAGAAGAATAGGTATTAATTCTTCTTTAAATGTTTGGTAGAATTCCTCTAGGAAGCCATCGGCCCTGGACTCTTGTTTGTTGGAAGATTTTTGATTATGGTTTCAATTTCTTTGCTGGCTATGAGTCTCTTCAGGTTTTCTGTTTCTTCCTGGTTCAGTTTTGGTAGTTTATACATCTCTAGGAATGCATCCATTTCTTCCAGATTGCCTAATCTTAGCTTAGATTTAACTGCCTTTGCAGTCACCATATTTGTGACCCCTTTTGTTTTTGTTTTCCCCTTCTTCACACCCCCAACTCCTGCTCTGTTTGCATCTATTTCTCAATCAGACTTCATGTCTATATATCCTTGCCCCTGGCCCAGCCTTCCATTCCCTGCCTCATACACTTCCACTTGGGTTACAGGAAAAACAACCTCCCTTATATCTTCAGTCCCTTCCAGAACATGCTCTCCAACTCCATCTATTAACATCTATAACCCTCACCCTGAGTTGACTTCTTGTTAACCGCTCTCACACCTCTTTTCACACTCCCCAGCCCTCCAAGTCAGGATATAGGTAAGCATCCTTTCATTTCCTCTTATTTTAGAACTGCCTTCTCCCATCCTCCTATTTAAACAAACAAATAACTTCCACAGTCTGCTTCCCTTCTCTAAGAGATGTGCTATTTAGAGATACTGACCTTTTCTCCTTTTCATCACCGTCACTTACCACCTTTCATTCCTTGAGGATTTTGGCACCAGCTTACAGACTTTCTCCACCCAGTCCTGCCATCATCTTGGACGATTTCAGCATCAGCACGGCTGGCTCCTCCAACACCCTGGCCTCTCCCAACCAGGAAACGTTTCCTCTGCATTCCCCCCGCAGCTGCTCCCAGAGTCACACCCTGGACCTTGGCATTGAGTGAAATTCCTCCATGTGAATCACAGAAATCCTGGAATCATAGAAATCGGTGATTCTAATGACACTCTCCGACCAGAGACACTGTGTGGTTGGCCAACCCTCTGCGCTCCCCACAGTTTCCCATCTCCTGCACAATCTGCCTTACCCACCCACCTACCTGTCCCAGTCATCGCTCCTGGCCACCTACCTAATCCAGTCCAGGTTGGAGTCCATGGTCCACCATTCCCACTCCTCCTGGCAGTACCCCAGATTTTGTGTGCCTTTATCTTTCACTGTACTCTTGAGAAAAATCACAACCCTGGATAAACCCAGTGCTCGCTTTCTCCATGCCTGTGGCAGGCAGTCAAGCCGTGCCAGAGGAAAATGTGCAACAGAAGAAAGTGAACAACTATACATTTAAGCATCAACAGAGGCCTTCTTGGGGCTCAGAACTCTCATGGTTCTCTGATCACCTTGTTCTCACACTCTCCCCAACCTCTCTTTCAAAACTTCTCCACTCTGACATCACCAACCCTCCCCTCCTGCAGATGATTTCTGCATGGAGTATGGAAGCGCACAGCACCTCCATGTGTCCGTGCTTCCTTCCGTCCTGTTATAGCCACTAAGGGGACCTCCTCAAACCTCTCCACCCAGACTCTGGCTCTCATTCTCTCCCTCCTTGAGGAATTCCCCCCATCAGCCTTTCAACATGCTCAAGCCTCTGCGCCTGATACCACTCACCTTTAGTTTTGGAGAGTTGTGTGCATTTGCTGTTTGTTTCCTCACCTCCTGCTCTCTTTTCCAGCACTCCAGTCTTCCTGGAGCCCACCTTCACTGGCTTACAGGGGATCAGCTCTTTGCTGAATCCAGTGGATGGTTTTCAGTCCTCATGTTACTTGACCTTTCAGAGAAATTCAGCAGTGTTAACCACTCCTTCCTTCCTTCTTGAAATGCTCCTCCTTGGCCATCTTGTGACAACCCAACTTCTGGTTCCCCTTCTGCCTCTCAGCTGTCCCTTCTCAGCTTCTTCCAGCAGCCTATCCTCCTTTATCCAGCCTTCAAATGCTGGATTTTTCTCCAGGCTCAGACCTAGGCTCTTTCCCCACTCTAAATTCTCTCCGTGGAGTCTCAGTTACTACCTGTTTGCTAACAGTTTTCAGATTCATTCTCTAGTCCTCTCTCTACAGCCCAGATGTATAGATGTCCAGCTGCCTACTTGACATCTTCAGGTGGCTGTCTCACAGGCTGTCAGACTCAATGTGTATCAAGTAGAATTTGAGATGTGCTCCCCTCCTTCCACCCCCTTCCCCAAATATCCTGGTCCTCATTGTTTGGTGTCCCCACAGTCATCTATCTGGTTATATTGGCAGTGATCCTTGACCTTCCCCTCCCACTCAACCCCAAACATCGTCTATCACCAGCTCCTGTGCATCTTATCTCCTCTGTACATCTCTTATCCTTCTAGTTCTCTCCATCTGCACCCACCGTTCTAGTCCAAACTGCTGTTACCTTTTACCGGGACTATTGCAGGAATCTCCCAAGTTATTAACACATTCTTAGTCCCTCCAAAAATTCTCCTCACTGTAGCTAAAGCAATCATTTGCAAAAATAAATAAACAAAAAGCTGTGAAGTTAATTATATCTTTTCTGTTTCAAACCTTTCTGTGTTTTCCCATTGCCCAGAGGCTGAAAACCCAAGTCCTTAGCAGAGTCACCCACATGCTGCACCATCTTGGTCCTACCTGTGTTCCTTTCCCCTTCCCAAGCCTTTGAACATGCTGTTCCTTCTCCACTTAAGAGTGTTTCTCTGCTCAACTCTGCCATGGCACTTGGCCTAATTAACTCTTTGTTTAGCTTTCATATCTCATCTCCAGTGTTGCTTCCTTAGGAAAGGCTTTCCTAATCACCTTCCCCCCAGGGGAAGCTACATCAGGGCTCCCAGTTCCTCCCATGCTTTAATAGCATCCTCTGCATCTGCTCTGTAGTGTTTCTTATCATAAAAGGATTCCTTGGGTAATCATTTATTTAATAAGTATCTTCCTTGCTGGCATTGGAACTTCTCTTTTTCACAGCTGTATCCCCAGCCTAGCACACTGCCTTGCCCAGATTAAGTGCTCAAGAAATTTTTGTCAAATGAATGTCATCACCTTGTTTTGTAACTTTGTTTGAATAACAAATCACTTTGTCTTTTATCTTCTATGTTAATTTCCCCTACTGGAACATGAGATTCGGGCTTTTTCCTCTCACTTTAAACCTGTATCTAGAATTGTGCATGTCACACAAAATGTGCTAGTTGAATGAATGAATGAATGAATGAATGATGAGTAGGTTAAGAAGAATGGGCAGATAGTGGACATCTCCACAGAGACAGCAGTGAGAAAAGCATTCTTGATAAAGATGTTTTAGGTTAGGAAGTGAAATTGTCTAATTTGTTTTTGGAAAATGTCTGGCAGAAGTTCTAGAAGGTGCATTCCAGGAGCAGGACAATGAGAGCTTGGGTGACTGTAGCTGAGCCCAGAGCCCAGCTATTGAAGAACCATTCATTTATTAGAGACCAGGGATGATACTGAAGAGAATAGGAGGATGAGCATGAGCAAGCTGGACAAGAGAGGAAGAACTGGAACCATTCAGGAAATAAAACTCTACCTGGACTTAGCAATGACTGCCTATATGGGTTGAGTTGTGAGGAACACAGGATGCCTCTGAAGTTTCGCCTGGGCTCATGAGTGGTTCTAATGTTGAGGAGAGAATGCATGATGGAGGTCTGGCAAGGGAGATGAGTTTGATTTGGTGCATGTGGTATTTGATGGGCTTATGAGATATGTAGGTGGGGATGCCCAGGGAGCAGATGGATATATGCATCTGGAATTTAAATGATTCTGGGACATGATGCAAAGCATTGCCCTTGCCTGCCACCAATTGATCACCCAAACTGCTGTATTTAATATAATAATCGCTGGCATTTAGTTAGTGAGTCCTTACTAAGTGTCAGACACCCTGCTGCACATGACGCATGTTATGAAATAGGTACTGTTACCATCCGTTTTACAGAGGAGGAACCTGAAACCTGAAAAGTTAGGTAAGGTACCTAGGCCATGCCCCTCGGAAGGGTCAGAGCTGGGATTCAAACCGGCAATCTGATAATCACTCTCCTGTGCTACAGTGTTTCTCAAATGTTAAAGCTACACTTGCAGTTAAAAGTACACTTTACATCACAGGCCAGCACCCACAGATGCACGTTACACATGTGCCCACACACTCACACAGGCAACTATGTAAACAGTGGGCAAAACAGTGCCTACCCTTACTACTACTACTAATGCAACCTGATATTTTCTATTCAAGTCTTTATCATCTTTTTTTTTAAGTAGGCTCCACGCCCAATGTGGAGCCCAGCATGGAGCTTGAACTCACGACCCTGAGATCATGACCTGAGCTGAGATCAAGAATTGGACGCTTAACCAACTGAGCCACCCAGGTGCCCCTATCATCTTTTAAAATGGTGGTTACTCCCTACTAAATTGATTTCACAGCCAGAGTTTGGCTGAGTTGGACAAACATTGCTCTATTTCGTTCTTCTGGGGAGCAGAATTCATTTCTGTTCCCAGGCCTTGTCATTCCCCCTACCTTTGGGGAGAATATATTGAGTGTTGCTACATGTGTCCCACTTTTCTCTCTCAAGAAGGCATTAAAGGTAAAAGGGATGAGGCCAGCCAGGAAACACTCACTTCAGTAGACGGATCAAACCTCGCCTTTAATGGGGCTGATGAAGGTTAGTGCAGAACGTGCAAAACCACAGCACAGAACACGGTCCAAAGCAGTGTGAGCAAAATAGCAATCACTAGTATGAACTTCAGTGGCACCCAGGCCTGGGTTTCTAGTCCAGCTCTACAGCTTATTAACTGCATCACGTTGGGCACATGTGTTATTTCATATGGTACTGTGGAAGGAGAAAATTGAAATGGTACGTTGGTTCATTCAACACCTACCACGAGCCTGTCCCTTAGTAGGCACCAAGAAATAGTACTACTATCTTTATTCATTTAAGTTATAATATATAGACTAACTTACAAATTGAATATTCCAGACTATTCCATAATGACCCAGTCAGTCATTCAATGATGTATGGAGTCAGCCAGCTATTAGTAGGTCATTTAAAGAAGACTTTAAATATTGATTTCACTTAGCACAGGATGTGGGTCTTAGAAGAGGCCAGTAGCTCAATGTCAGTAAATATGGCCTTAGGCATAGAGTTGTTTATTTCGAGCCATCTGCAGGTCTTCCTTCAGAGTAGACCGGGTTGCTCTAGACCAGCCATGCCACCTGTGCAGGAATCCCCCCCACCCTGTCCAGAAGCCGTCGGTGGGAAAGAGCTATTTGATTGTGTACATGTTGTCCCTAAACATGCAGATCCCAGAGCTAATAATGTTTATGAAGCGAGAACTTTTTTAAAAGACTTTCAAGTTCATTAAGTGCAAAAAATGAGATTCTATCTCACGGAGGAATAAAGCACCAGTTCAGTGCTGATTATAGAAACGAAGTGCTGTGAAACAAACAGAAACAAGCCATGTGAGCTTGAGGTTCTACACTTCCTTTACTTTTCTTTTAATATAAATCTGATTTTAAAATGGAAATACAGTTCAGATAGCATTCCTGGTACTGGAACTTTTAACTTTCAATCCAGTCCCTTTTGAGCTTCTCTCATTAATTTTAGATTTGCATCAAGTCCTCATTACTAATTAAAATTTATTGGGCACTTTCTCTTAAATTCCAGGATTTACCCTGAAATTTGGGGGCCCTAACTGTGAGCACCGAGGAAGATGAATATAGTGGATTGAGGATAGAGATTAGAGAGGGAAGAATAAACAGGAGGGGAAATTCTAAGGACACTCTAGGCTGCTGTGCCTCTCAGGAGCATGCCGTTCACGCATCCTTGCTTTCTTTACCACACTCGGCATCTAGTAAGGACCCAGTCACAGCTCTGTTGACTGAGTGCCTCAGATGTGCCGGCCATTAGCTGGGCACACTATGCAGGGGGTTTCAATTGGTTCTAACGGCAATCTTGTGAAATTATATTATCTTCATTCCACAAATGAGGAAACTAAGGATCAGAGAGGTTAAGATAGTTGTCCAGGATCACACAGCTGGTGGGGGCAGAGCCACAGTTTGAATCCAGGGCCAGTGACTTCAAAGCCTCATCTCCCTCCTCCTTTGTGGCCTCTCATGGGCCAATCTGTACTTGAACTCCAGCAAAAATACCACTAGTGCTATTTTGCTGAGCACCCCAGCCTGCCAGGCACTAAACTAGTCTGCATAATTCCAAATTAATTCCCAAATACAAAGGGGTATAAAGGACACTGGTTTGAATGCAAAGATCACTAGGCTGAAATTCCATGGAAACAGAGGTCATATATATTTGGTCTCTCACTGTATATTAGGTGCCTATTATGTGGCTAATCCTCAAAACAAACTTATTAAATGAAAAGTTACTGAAAAAATTAATGAACCAACAATTTGAAATGGAATTCAAAGTTCAAGTCCCATTTCCACAACTTGCTAGGGCCTTGATTTTAGGCAAATCATTTAATTCCCTTAGCTTCAGTGTTACCATCTGCAAAATGGGCATAACACTTCCATAGCCTGCCTTATAGGGCAGTGGTTCCCAAACTTTACTGTACCTTGGAGCAACCCATGGACCTTTAGAAACTCCTCATCTAAGCTTCTGTCCCCAGAATTCTGACTTGATGGGGTGGGATGTGATCTGGGCGTTTAACAGCTCCCTAGGTGGTTCTTAATGGGTAGCAACGTTTGGAACCACTGTCATACACATATTCTTTTCCTTTTGGGGGCTTGTCAAACATAGCAAAGGAAATAAACCTGCTCTGTAAAACCTAAAGAGGCAGTTAAATAAAAACAGTTGTTATAAAGTTAGTCCAGAATGACTCCGGGTCTTGAACTCCTGCTTCCCGATGTCATGACAGAGAAGGAGGCTGGTTACACTGGTCTCCTGTGTGTCCTAGGACAAAATGCCCTCCTTCCTGATCAGGTGATCAGGTGGCAAAGTTGAGGCAGAGGAGGAGGATTTGGTTGAAATCAGGGCTGGAACAGGTTAACAGTGACCTGCTGGACCATTGTCCTGTTGGATGAACTTGTCCTTGGGCAGTCTCACGTGCTGTTCTGGTACCCCCACCCACTCACCCGCACCCATCAGGCATACATGTACAATGCCTATTCAGAGACCCTCCCAAATGGGTCTGTTTGTTTGATTCTTCCTGGTCATAGTTCACTTTTTGACCCAGGCCTCTCAGGCTGGGCCTGTGTTGTGGGAGGAAGGAAGCGGTCCTCCCTTGCCCTCAGTAGCTCCCCTGTCTGTCACCTTCCTCTGCTGTTACCCTATGGGGGGCCAGCTGAGTAAGAGGGCCACCAAGGTGCCAAGAACAATATTATTTAAATTTTAAATAATAGTCTCTTGGGAAGAAAGGGTCATAATGCTTTCAAACCGCCACAGGGAGTTTGCCAAGAGAATGATTCATAAGCCTTCCAACTATCTACCTCTCTCCCCTCGTTCGCTTAGGACAAAATCCTAAAGTCGCCAATTATTTCAGGAGTGGGTTTCTTCCATTTCTCTTGCATGTTGGTCCTTATCCAGCAATTGTGCATTCACCAGTCTTCCGATGGCCAAACAATTGAAATAGCCACTATTCTCACATGCTTTTGAACAGTGTATATTAGCCACATGTTCTTAGCGTGTCATTGACCCATCTGAGCCACAATCAATTTCCTCTTCCATAAATGGGCATAATAACAC